TTGTTGTTGTGGTTTGTGTGTGTGTGTTTTTGTTTGTGTGTGTAAGAATTATTTTATGTGTATGAGTGCTATCCACATTTCTATGTAGCATGCTTGTTTTCCACGGAGGTCAGTCGAATATTAGAACCCCTGGAACTAGAGTTACAGATGGCTGGGACCCATGACGCGGGTGCTGGGAACCAATCCCAGGTCCTCTGTGAGAGCAGCTTTTAACTGCTGAGCTATCACTCCAGTGTCCTCCTACCCAACCTCCATTTTAAATTTTTGAAATAAGAGTCTTGTTATGTAGCACAGGCTGACACCTTCTGAGTGCTAGGATAAGAAGTGTGGGCTACAACACCTGGCTTTTTACCAAACTTAGACACAGCCCAAGCCAAGGGTCTTCATCTCCAAATTACTCTCTCTCACTATGGCCTTCCAGGGCCTCTGTCACTTTGCCCCTAAGGTCTTCCCCTGTTCTGACTAGGTTTGCCACACCTGAGGGCTTTTGCTCTGCTGTTGCCTTTGCTTGGACAGCTCCCAAAACAGCCTATTACCTCTCTATCATCTCCACTGTCCACTATGGTCTCTCCATAACAAGCCTCTCCAGATTGGAGAGCCAGTTAACTGAGAAACAGACTTCCTGCCAGTTCCTGCCAGCCACTGAAAGGGGGCAGCAGTACTCCCAACACCACTTAGCTAGGGAAGAAACTTAAGTAAGGGATGAGAACTGGCCAACAAAGAAAGCCTGATGCTGGACTCCTAGGAGATCTTGCTAACCCAAACAGACCAACATTTGGCCCCTCAGTCCCTCAGCTGCAACAACCGACTACCAGGACATACCTGTTCCAGGCCCCTCAGCCCACTTCTGATTGAGTCTAGGCTTACCACTATGGTTTTACAAACTAAGAGATCATTTGCTGCTCAGACAAAAAAGGAGTGCTATAATTTCTAGTAATTTATTTTCTGAGAAATTAACAAATTAAGTTTATGCATTAGCCTTGAATGCTGACCAATAAAACCTTTTAAGGCTGCCCAGGAGTCTAGATAACAAATCCCTGAGACTCACTTAAACCTTCTACCTGTATTTTAAATCAAAACCCCGGTTTCCCAAGGCTCTGGAAGTCTTGG